GTCAACATTAAAAATAGCTATTTCTTCAAAGATCTAGTTATGTCACCAAGAACCACTATTTCTAAACCAAAGGGAAAATTCTTCTAGAAAGACAGAAGCCTAAATACTTTATACATTTTTAAAATTGAGGTACGATTTATATATGTTAACTATATAAATCTTAAATGAATAGCTCAATAAATGTTTTTATGTGTACATACCCATGCAACCACCATTCAATCAGGATATAGAAGGTTCCCTTGATATTCCCACCAAAGGTAACCACTACCTTAGTTCTATCACCACAGAAATGACATAGTTTTGTCTTGTTTCTCTACACTTTATATAAATATACATATTTCATATAGTATGCCCTCTCCAAGATGTTGTCGTGGGTACAGCATTCTTTTTCACTGTTGTATAAAATTTATTAAACCAGTCTACTGTTGACGGACATTTGGATGATTTTCAGCTTTTGGGTATTATGAATAAAATGGATATGAACACTCTTATATTTATTTATATTTATTTTTTGGTGAATATAAGGACTTTTTTTTCCCCCCAGTAGTCTCCATACCCAACATGGGGCCTGAACTCATGACCCTGAGACCAAGAGTCATATGCTCTACCAACTGAGCCAGCCAGCTTTATTTTTGATGGCCATTCTATGCAGGAGTGGAATTGATAGGTTTTAGGTAACATGCATATACAGCTTTAGACACCTTTAATAGACCTTGCCAAGCACCTTTACAAAGTGCTAGTTCCAGTTTATTATTATACTCCCATTAGCAATGTATGACAATTTCAATTGCATCACATCCGCACTAACACTTGGCATTGTCATTCCTTTCAATTTTGTGGTTATCGGGTATAGTGGTATCTCACTGCCAGGAAGTGGGAAGGATCTGATATTTTATTCTACTTCTAACAAGCCGGGATGGTGGAAGACATGAGACATCTAGATCAGAGATGAAAGACATTTCATTACTCAGAACAGCAAAAGCCAGAGTATCAACATTGGAGCCGCTCTTCTAAAGCAGAATTCCCACAGGCAATACAAAGAGCTGGGTGATAGGAGCACATGCAGATGGCTGTGCTGTAAGAAAGGCACCCTGTGCCTACAAATTACTTTGTGTTTTCTAGGAATTTATAAGTGGAATCATATAGTATATTCTCCTTTTTATCTGACTTCTTTCACTCAGTGTAACTATTTTATTTGTATGTGTTGCTGCAGTATCAATAGTTCATCTCTTTTTACTGCTAGGTAGTACCCATTGTAAAGATATGCTCTAATTTCTTTATCCATTCAACTGCTGGTGGCCATTCGGGATGTTCACAATTTTTGGCCATTAACAAATAAAGCTGTACATCTTTGTAAGAACATATACTTTCATTTCCCCTCTATAAATCCAACTGATTTTTTGACCTCCCATGTCTCTTACATATATTATAATCATATATAGGTATATATTATGTATTACATATATAATCTGGATATTATATGTATTATATATATATTTAAAGATTTTATTTATTTATTTGAAAGAGAGAGAGAGATAGCAACAGAGATAGCGAGAGAGAGTTTGAGCGGGAAGGAGAGGGAGAAGCAGACTCTCTGCTGAGGAGGGAGCCCGATGCAGGGCTCAATCCCAGGACCCTGAAATCATGACCTGAGCCAAAGGCAGACACTCAACCAACTGAGCCACCCAAGCACCCCTAATATATATATTTTAAAGACTCATAAGTAATATTAACCTTTGGAGAGAGGTACTAGATGGAGAGGGGAGTGGCTCTTTCTTTTGTATTTTTTGTTTGAATTTGAATTTTTATTTGATTTATATATATTTATTATGTAACATATATGAATCTTTAATTTCTAGAATGTGTCAGCTGGAACCACTGGGCAAGGAAATTATGGCTCATTTTTGTTTTGTTTTCTTCTTTGTATTTCTCTGTATTTAAAAAAAAAAATCTAATAAATGCTGTTTTTTAAGGCAAAAAAGAAGAAAATCTCCCAAGGCATTTTCTCAACTCTACTGATACCTGATGATTCACTCCCTATAATTCTGCATAATACCACAAGCTTTTGATGAATTATTTTTTCTAACTCCAGGCTCGCCTCCTTCAGACCATCCTACATGGATGGGTATATAGCCATTTTTCTAAACTGCAAATTTGATAATACAGCTCCTGTTTATACTAACCAGCAACAAAATAAACCCAATACTTATCATCAGAGCACATAAGCTCCTTGCTATCACCTGCAACATCATTTTCTACTATTCCTTCACTGTACCCCAGGTGCTAGTCATGCTGAAATGTCAATAATGTGCCAAGTTCCTTAACTTCTTGGTGCCTCCTTCCTCTTTTTTCTGTCCTCCTTGTGACTTCTCACTCATCCCTCTCTGTGATGTCTTCTATTCCTCTCTACCCTCCCCCTTAAAAGATTAATTAATTAATTTATTTATTTATTTGAGAGAGAAAGAGAGCATGAGCTAGGGGGAAGGGCAAAGGGAGAGGGAGAAGCAGACTCCCTGATGAGCAGGGAGCCTGATGTGGGGCTTGATCCAAGGACCCTGAGATCATGACCTGAGCGGAAGGCAGATGCTTAACTGACTGAGCCATCCAGGCGCCCCTACCCTCTTCCTTTGCGCTCAGATGCTTCCCTCCTCTGTGTTTCTATGGTACTTTATAAATTACTGCATTATAGCAGTCATCACATTGTAGCTGACTATTTTACAAAAACAGCAATGGATGTCAATTAGAATTCCATCCTGTAATTCTCTGTAAAATTCTTATCTTAATATTTGCTGAAGTCAGTGTCCCAAAGAATATGCAAAACCTTACTGAAGTCTAAGTGTAACCACAAATATATTGATGCCTACGAGGGGTAGAGTTGCTAAATGGCAGTTAGCAAAAAATATACCATGAGAGGTAGTTTAGAAGCCCCCAAAATTCACAGATTGGATGACAATTCCCTGAAAGTTGACCAATTTAAAAGATTTTATTAAGTAACTAGAATATTAGCTCTTATAAGATAAAATTCTAAATAAATGAAAATCTTACAATCCATGTAAAAGAAAGAAGATACTCTTCACCTGATAAAATGTTGTTTGCTTTGTTAAGTTTTTTAAAAAACATTTCAACTGGCATTTTTTACCTGGTGATTAAAATACCTGGTATAGAAAGCCGGGTTCTATTCTTTGTGAGAGAGCTATACAATCAGTTTCTTCTATACGTATTAGAGAAGTAACCGGTAACTCATTGATACTTCTGACAGTTGCCTTGTGCTAATTTCTAGAAAGTCATAGTGTTAGAAAACTTTAGAGAAAGTGAGGGAAGGATATTATTTGGCCAATTAATCCTGGACAACTCTTTGTACAACCTAAGGTTAGTATCTGCATAAGGTAAAATAATGAATCACAGATATTTATGCTCAAGAAGGGCAAAGTGCTTTATAATTTCTCCATTAAACTAAAAAGAGGACAAGAGAAGCTTATACTTCTGACTCCTACTAAGTGCTCAGTGCCCTTCTTCAATAATAGAGACAGAATTTTTTTAAGATTTTATTTATTTATTTATTTGACAGAGAGAGAGACACAGCGAGAGAGGGAACACAAACAGGGGGAGTGGGAGAGGGAGAAGCAGGCTTCCCGCGAAGCAGGGAGCCCGATGCGGGGCTCGATCCCAGGACCCTGGGATCATGACCTGAGCTGAAGGCAGACGCTTAACAACTGAGCCACCCAGGTGCCCCTAGAGACAGAATTTTCTTAGAAATCACTGCAGCTTAGTTAAGAAGTAAAGTGGGATGTACCATTAAGGCTGGTAGCTATATTTCCTCAGTTTTATGCAGGCAAGGATTTAAATGTTTCTCTTCCGAAAAGACTGAATTTGCTTAGCACTTTCTAAGTTAGAGCATTCTAGGACTCTAATATGACATCATTAGTGGGGATCAACACATTCCAAAGAACCTAAGAGAGAAAAGTTTCTGTCACTACTTAAAGTGAATAATCTTGAAAAATTAATACTAAAATCACCTACAGTTACTGATCTTCCAGATGAGCCATCACCACATTATCGCATGTGATGACTGATGCTGATGGTCTCCCAGAGGATGGAACAAAGACTAATGTTTTAGAAAAGGTACAAAAAGGCAAGAAGCATCACACTATCATCTTTATAAAATAAATCATTACACCTGGGAAATAAGAGCTCCTAACTACAATAAGTATTTTATTACCTTGTGTCAGTGAGACAAACCTTTCAGGCATTCATCAGGCAAATAAGAAAGACAAACATAACTATGATATCGTAGTAGGTACAAAGTCTAGATGATGTTGCATTTTGAAAATGCCAAAATGCCCAACTATTCTGCAAAAGCTCCTGGTCTGAATTATTAAGTAGCAACTTAGCTGTATAAACAATATCCTTTGACATCAATTCTGGACAGCTGCCAAAGGATAATGACTCCATACTCCCTTTATGACTGAAATTGCTAGGAGTGTTTGAGTTATTCTTTAGCAATATAGGTACCTGGTGATTCTTCTATGATGGGATGGCTAGGGTACTGTGAAAATATTGAGCTCCTGGACTAGGAAGTTGAATTCTTGCCTGTCTGCCACTCCCTCAAACTATGGACAATGATTTCTGATAATACAACTTCTACTGAAATACACATCAATTTAATAATGTTTTTTAAAACTAACGTTTTTCAAAACCTCAAACTGAAATCCTTTCAAAGACTTTGGATGTGAAAAAAATACATTTAGAAATTCAATAATATACTTTATAGGTTTTACTTCTCATTTTATGTATGCTGTTACACATTTTGGGAACAGAACTAAACAACCACTTGAATATGAGCCTTTCCCTAGGTTCAAAAAGATATACACATGCATATTACCCAAACACAAAAGAACAGCTTAGTCAAAGAAGATGAATGGAAAATTCTATTAAAGCAGAATTTACTTTCATTTCAGTATATACACTAGAAAAATGGTCAATTTTTAGAAAAATCTTACCTGCTACTGAATTTGGCCGTGGCATAAGATATAGAGGAATAGACTGTACTGATTGTGATAAAACTGTTTCCAAATTCCTTTCTGGGATCTTATTCAGACTATAGGTGGAAGCTGTCATGTTTTCATCTACTCGATACAAACAGGAATCCATGCTGGATTTTTGAGACTGCCAAGGTTTTAGGTTTCCTCCAGACCCTAATTCTTTACTGCTTTCCCCAACATATTTTGTGCGTTCTACATTTTCAGAATAGCTTGTCAACGTAGCTGAAAAAGAGAGTAAAACAAGTTAAAAATTAAAGAGGGCACGTATTGAATGGGGCACTGGGTGTTATACGCAAACAATGAATCATGGAACACTATCAAAAACTAATGATGTAATGTATGGTGATTAACATAATAAAATAAAATCTAAAAAAAACCACACACACACACACACACACACAAAACAAAACAAAACCCCACAAACCTAGAGATTAAGCTGTTTACTACTATCCAAATTCATGACTAGCTAATAAGAGTAGTAGCAATATTATTTTTAAAAAGTTACTGATCATTTCATCTCCACCATGAAGTTTAAATAATTGAAAGCACAATATATCTTACATATTTTCTCTCATTTCTCTTATATATTTAACAACTCTATTTAAGTGGAACTAAACACATTCATACATCAGTGCTAAAAGATCTACAACTAGAGCCTATCAATGCTAAAAATTTCAGAATTTCGTCACAAAGGGAATTCATATAATTTTCATGGATTGCTGAGGAGCTCCCAAAATCTCAAAAAGATCTTTACTCTCTTTTAATCCCCTATTTTCCCTCATTTAAATTTATTTCCTGACCCCTTATATGTAATTAAGAATTAGAAAAAACAAATGGTCCCTTAAGTAGATATATAGGATATATTGCAGAAATAATCTGTCCAAATAAGGAGACAGTACAGGGCCTCCTTGTACAGCTACCCTCTAGCTCTAACCCTAGATGGCCCTGAATGAAATCAAGCAAAACCTGAAAGGGCTTCTAGAATTTTTCTAGTCTTACCACTAATTATTAACAGGACTTAAAAACAAAAATTTTCATCAACCCTAGAAATGCAAGGAATAAAAACACTAAAATAAAGATTATAAAAATCTTAGCAATAATTATAAGAATAAAAGAGGTCATCCCAGGAGAGTTTTTAATAAGTTAGTTCATATTTTCTTCTTACATCTTCAACGTACCTGTTGTTAAAAGAAGAGACCTAAGTTTATTAGGTAATTTCCACAATCCCTTTTAGTGAGGTTTTCTCTTTGGAAATGTAATTGGAATTCTGGACTTTGTAGTAACAGGGAAAAATACGAGTTACAAAGGAAGACACCCTGGTTGCCTTCCAGCTTTGTTCCTCTTTACAATAATAAGTCGTCCTTGCATCTGAGAATTAAGTGTTGTCAACTGGTCTCTGTATCCTCACTAAGGGAGTCCAGTTCCAAGGCAACATCTCTCTGTCAGTTCCATCGGGGAAGGCAGTCACCATTAGGCTTCTCAAAGATGACAATGCTCCCTACCACTACCTACTCATGACACATCCCCCCCTTCTTTTTAAAAGATTTATTCATTTATTTGAGAGAGAGAGAGTGTGTGGTTACAGGGGGGAGGGGCAGAGGGAGAGGGAGAATCCTCAAGCAGAATCCCTGCTGAGCATGGAGCCCAACATGGGGCTTGATCCCAGGACGCTGAGATCATGACCTGGGTTGAAATCAAGAGTTGATGCTCAACTGACTGAGCCACCCAGGAGCCCTGACACATCCTTTTTATATATTGTCCTTGTTACCTTTTTTACATACTGCTGGATTCAATGTAGAATTTTGTTAAGGACTTTTATGTCCATGTTCATGAGAGACATTGGTCTATTGTTTACTTTTTATATGATGCCTTTGTCAAGTTTGGTCTTAAAATAATGTTAGCCTCATAAAGTGTTCTTTTCACTTCAACTTCCTGGAGCAGTTTGTGCAGAAATGGTATTATGTCTTCCTTAAATGTTTGGTAGAATTTACCTGTCAAGGCATCTGGACTAAGAGTTTTCCTTGTGTAAAAGTTTTAAATGGCAAATTCAATTTATATTTAACAGCTATAAAATTATTCAGGTTATCTTTTTCTTCTCAAATGATCTTTGGTCATATATTATTTCCAGGAATTTGTCCATTTCACCTAAATTGTCAAATTTATTGGCATAAAGCTGTTCATGACATTCCCTTATCCTTTTAATGTTTGTGGGGTCTGTTGTGATGTGCCTCTTCGTTCCTGATATTGGTAATTTGTATCTTCTTTTTTTCCTGGTTAATATGACTAGAGGTTTATCAATATGATTTTCTCAAAGAACCAGCGTTCAGTTTCACTGATTTTCTCTATTCCTATTTCATTGATTTCTGCTCTTTACTATTTCCTACTTTGTTTACTTTGATTTGAATTTCTTCTTTTTCTTGTTTAAGTAGAAGTTTAGTTCACTAATTAAATACTTTCTTTTCTAAAATAAGCATCTAATGCTATAAATTTTCTTCTAAGCACTTCTTTAGCTGCATTCTAAAAATTTTGATGCTTTGTTTTCATTACCATTCAATTAAAAATATTTTTAAATTTCCACTGTGATTTTTTTTGACCCATGTTATTTAGAAATATGTTTAATTTCTAAGCATTTGTGAAATTTCCTGATATTTTTCTATTATTGGTTTCTAGTTTAAACACAGTGTGGTCAGAGAACACAGTTTGTAATGGTTTAGTCCATTTAGCTTTATTGAGACTTGTTTTATGAACCAGAATATGGTCTCTTGGTGCATCTTCTATGTATACCTAAAAAGAATCTGAACTATGCTATTGATAGTGGACTGTTCTATAAAAAATAATTAGGTCAAGTTGATTAATGGAATTGTTTAGGTCTTTTACATGTTAATTGATTTCCTACTTGTTCTTTCAACCACTGAGAGATGAGAGTTAAAATCTCTGTGGATTTTTGCCATTTTGAAGCTTTGTTATTTGGTGTATAAACATTTAGGATTGTTATTTCCTCTTGATGAAATGACCCATTTATCATTATGAAATGACCTTCCTTGATAGGTCATCACTGTTTATTCTGAAATCTATTTTGATACTCTTTGCTCTGAAATGGGTGAAAGAGGGAGATGATGAGCATACAGTATGGACTCCAGGACCAGCAGGAGCAGCAGGGAACTTAATCTTCATTTACTAATCCTTTCCAAGTCTTTTTGGGAGACTGCAACTGGTCATCTCCTCAAAGAACTGGATTTGGATCTCCCCTCTCAGAAAAGAACTGAGTATCACAGTATCATGCTTCCAGGTGAGACTAAATGCCAAAAGAGAGTACTAATGATTGATCTATGTGGTACAAGAGTTGAACTGGGTTTGCCACTCTAAATGTACTCACCTGCCTGTTGTCTGGCTACACTGACTCTAGCAGTGGTGTGGACTATTCCCATGGGTTGGAGCTGGGTCCCTGTTATTAACATCCTGCTCCAGACTGAAGGGTTGGCTATAATGGCTATTCCTGGTCTTTTGTGATAATCATGGGCAGAAGTCAACCACTGTCTTATGTACTGCCATATAGCCTCTCTCATCCATCTCTAGACTTCCTGGCTGCCATGGAGACATGAGATGCAGTAGGGCTACTGGATTCATGCAACAGTAAGAGTCAGGGAAATAGTACCCTATTAGGGCTAACATACCAATGTGAGAAGGGAACTAGCAGTAATATCACCTTGTAATTCCCCCTTCCACAGTTCAGAAATGTATGGTGTCTCTGAAGACTTTCAGTAGAATTAAGCAATCACCTCTGCCAGCTCTGTAATTCCTTTCCTTATATTTGCTTCTACTCCTTTTCTGCCTTACTCCTCTTTCATTCACTCTAATTTCCTTGGTTTATACTCCCTTAATATAGTATATACTCCCTCAATATAACCTTTTTGTCTCAGGCTCTATTTTCTAAGGAACCTATGCTAAGGAAGTCTTGTTGATGAAAATGTTGGGAACTATGGGATATTCTTCTAGCTAATCCAGATGTTCAAGTCATGTTTCAGTATACAGTCAAAACTACTCACTTTAATTAAAAATTCATTTCATATATTCAGACCTTCAGTCATAAACAGCCCAATAGTTCCTAACCTTTTTGCCACCAAACATAATGCTGTACCTTCCCCAATGAGATTATTATGGATTCCACAGCATTATTTTATAATTTCTAAATGTGTTCAGTGATAGCATATTTATATTATGTGTGTATGTACCTGTATGTGTTTTTTTAAAGCAGACGTATGCTCCTTATCCTAATTTCTGAAAATTCTCTAATTTAAAATATATTTAAACTTTTTTTCCAGTAAAATTTGGTAAATATTCAGTAAAAATTGGAAAATAATATTTCATTTGGTGTAAAGATGTGGTGATTCAGCTGGCTTTGTAATTCTTGGAAGAAGCTTAGAGTTCATACAGCTGCTAGGGTCAGTATGCTGAATCAAGCCAGAGAATGGAAACTCTTCTTTCCCAGAGGACTTGTCTACATGTAAAATGTCTGCTATTTAACCCCTTACCTTTTATGTTTTTTGTGTTGTGTCCAACAGAAGTTTTTATTATTAAGTCCCTAATCAAATTTGGCTAAGATTTACCTGTATCTGCATGGTCTTTGCCTGGTATATATCCCAGAAACACAACCCTTTTCTCCTGATAAACCAGGAGCATATTCAGTATACTGGAATACTACACCTTTACAGGTCTGAGAAAGTAGCAATGGGGTTCACTATTTTCAGTATTTCAAGTAATTTATAAATAATATGTAGCTAGTTAAAACTGGTAGCTAGCTAAAACATCAAACTTCTGTAAACATAGCTAGAATTGTATCAAGGGTGATAACAGTAGTTACCTCATTTAAACAGAAGCTTTGGCAGAGATGCATGTTTGATAAATTAAACATGAGAAACTGCTATAATCACAAATAGAGTGATGCTGAAAAATTTTTCAAAACTATGGGATCTATCAAGAAAAATTATGAAAGTCCTGATCAGTGGTGGAAAGATTAGAGAAATTGTGAGTTAATTTGTGGTACCCAAAGATGGAATTATTCAGTGGCCTACGGACCCTACTTTAGTTTTATATGATGCACAATGGTCTAGAATCTTAGGGGCACAGAAAGTAAAAATAGACAAATGACACAAAATACCAGAAGTAAAATTCTCTAGGTAACTATTCCCACTTAGGAATTTCGTGCATTTTTGCTTCATTGA